AGAAAAACAGGAAAAATCTGAATGTTCTCCTGAAGCACTTAAAAAAATTTTTTTTTACGAAATTCTTTTCTTAATTTCCATATAGTTTTCATTTTTACAAGTTTATAAAAGAGGAAATAGCACAATATATCCTTCTGAACGATTTGTATTGCTGAAAATAGAGCTATCTTTAAGTTTAAAATTTTAAGTCTTATATATTGCTATCTCTTTATCTTAGCCAAATGTTCCGTACAACATTAATGGGAATTAAAATTGATCACACTTGGGAAAGTTTTGCACGGTAAAAACATTTGAAAAAGTAGTGGATAAACAGGGCAGTTCCCGAAAAACGTGTAAATGAAGAAATTATTTAAATATTTCCTGTATGAAACTCCATTTAATTTTGAACAAGAGGCATAAATGTCATACAGATCTTGGTGCTCTTGAGCAGAGAATAGTTAAAGGATTTGTTTAGTCTAGCGTATTATAAGATTATACCGAGCCCTCTGAAGTGGCTCTCTTCAATTTTTATTTTGTCGCGCGAATTTTTATAAGATGGGAATATAGAATATAGCCCGAAACAGCAGTTCACAAGTGTTTTGTTTTGCCATCTTTTTTATTGTGACTCAACTTGAATCTCAGATTCCTGGCTTATTTTAACAAGAAGTCTCGAGTATTAACGTAACGAATTCATAAGAAAACTTTGGCTCCTAAAACTCATTTTATATACACTTTTGCAGTTATAAAATCTTTCAACACTACTTAAAAACCTAATGCATAAAAATGATTCCAGCGATGTCACAAATTTTGATACTTACATTTCTGTTGAAAAATCAGAATATATGCTTTTTATACTGATTGAGAAGTTAAGAAATGTTTTAAATTCTTAGTAAGTTAAGAAAGAAGGAATTTAGCAATACGCTTGAAAAAGTAATTTAGCTTGAAATTAATTTTCAGAGACCCATTAGCATTATCAAGCAGGATACCTGTAAACTGATGAAAATTAACTCATCAAATCCTGTTTCTTTAACTCTTCTTACAATGCTATTTGGGCAAGTGGTAGACTTATTTAAAGCAGAACAACGTTTTTTACTCGATTACGACAAGGGTAACAAATATAAATCAGCTAGCTTATTTGAAATTTTTATAGTTTCTGTTTCAGAAGTAATTTTTGCTCGTCATTTTTCACCGAGTTAATGTGTAAGAAAGGAAAGAATGATTCCAATCTATTCTTTTTAATCGCTGACCCATACTTTACTTGCCAGCTAGTACTGTAGTTTGTGTTAATTAACCTCCCAGTCAACAGGTGTGGGTTCTCATCCCGCAGAATGCTGATTTTTGTTTTAAGTCAGAATTCATTTTAGGGAACAGTTAGTGTTTAATTTTTTTTTTACTTTCTGGTGAGATGCTGTTGTTTCTTTTCATATTTTCTGCCTGAAGTGAATAGAAAAGAAAGTGAAGAAAAGTGATAATTGCTTAAGTAGGTTAACTATCAGATTGCTTGCAGTCAACAGATGGAGAAAGTGCTGGTTCGAGTTGTGAGTGAAGCAGAGTTTCTGCAGAGTAACTGTCAAAGCGAGGTTTTTTTGGGGTTAAAATATTTTCCTACCGTATGTCTTTCCACTGTAGTAGTGAGCACATATAGCTAGAAATTGAAAGGTCTCAGTTGCGATGACAAGGTTAATTTGGCGATTCCTACTCACAAGAAATTTAATGACACTAGAGTTATAAGGTGTTTTCTCATTTCTCCCGCCTTCTTAACATAGCTTCGTGATGTAGTAATCAGCACACTCCGTGCGTATTCGAGAGGTCCATGGTTTGATTCCTGGCGAGGGCATTGCTCATTTTTGATCTCTCCTGCTTCGAAATAACCTAATGACTCTACAGTGGCGCCCGCACCAAAAAAAAAAAAAAAAAAAAAAAAAAAAAAAAAAAAAAAAAAGAGAGAGAGAGAGAAGACCACCAGGAACTGGCGATTGGGTCCCCTAAAACCCCAAACGCCCTTTAAAAGGGGGAGTACATAAGGTATTTCTCCCGTCTTCTTAGCATACCTGCCTTCGTGGTGTAGTGGTCAGCACACTCCGCGCGTATTCAAGAGATCCGTGGTTTGATTCGAGGGCATTGCTCATTTTTCATCTCTCCTGCTTCGAAATAACCTAGTGTCTCTACAGAGTGGCATCCGAGCTAAAACTGCAGCGAATGGTAATTTGGTATACAGGACACCTCACGCTTTACAGATGCGAAGGAGTTAAAAGAAAAAGAATATGGATTTGATAGCTTTCGTATAGCAACAGACTCACCAATCGCAATTAAAATAGACACTTAACAATATACATATATTAGAGATAGCAATGTAATTTAAAACACAAGACAATTTGAAGCTGTTTCGAATGAGACACTGCGGTACTTGAAACATAGATTTATAGTGGAAAAATCTTTACAAGTTATCTCTTATAACATGCACTAAAAATCATTAAATTTTGGACTCATTTAGCATAATCCAGTTTTCCTAAGAAAATAATTTTTGAAAATCTATGACTATCAGTTACTGAGTCTTATCATCATGTTATTTCTATAATTTATATGTGATTTTTGTAAGTATGACTACATACGTACGAGACATTGACAAATTTGGTACAGAGCCCTAACAATTTTGAAAAACTGAAGGCATTCATAAAAAGAGTTGCGTAGAACCTATAAGATCAAAAAGAGAGAATGGAGACGTTATAAATAAAGATGAGAACCAGATGGAGGAGGTCACTGTAATGTCAAAGATTAACTCTGAAAGGAGAACTATAAGTCTCTTCAATAGCTCATGTATTAACGCTATCTTTTTTATATTAATGAACTGGTTTCTTTCTTTGATTAAATTGCTTCTGATAGAGAATTTGGAAATTGCAAGTCTTAAGTTTCTGTCGGCGCGAAAAAAACTAATTAGCCAAAATCTTTTTGAGAAAGCGAAATGAGCAAAAAGAGGACCAAAAAATGTTCCGTTAATGGAATACTCGGATAAACTAAATTGCTTCTCCTATCTCTCAAATGTTGAGTTGCAAAAATGGTAGGCTTTTATATGTTTCGTTTAGAAAGCTTTGATATTATATAAAGAAATTTTACGATGCTTCATTAACATTCATTAACATTACTTCGCTAAAATTACTTCGCTAAAATTCTGCTCTATGCTTCATTAACATTACTTCGCTAAAATTCTGCTCTATTTAATTATAATACAGAATTTCAGCTGCAATTGTTTATAATATTATATCTTAATAGTGTGTAAGAGACATACAGGCAGAGTCTTTTCTTTTTAAATATATAAACACTTTGTAACTTGCTTTTTTATCTAGGACAAAGAACTTTACTCCATAACAATGCATTGACACTGTATGCAGTTAAGTATGCATTTACCATGCAGGTGAACTAGATGTACAGAATCACATAAATTAATTTTACTTTCTGAGAGACGATAAGAAGCTCCGGCCGTTTTACAACTTCATGATATTTGAAATGACACAGTCAGTAATTTTTATATTAAGGACAGGTAATGTACTAAAGCACTTAGTTTAAAGCTTCAAAAGTTTTGATATTTTCCAGTTTAACACTATGAAATTTATTGAAACTTTCTGATGAAAACAATTTAAGATGTCAGAAATCAATTTTAGTTAGTTCAACGTTTACCAAATCAATTTAAAATTTCTTATACTAGTAATTCAGTTTATCCCAATAGTTTGATATTAATTCAAGAGATTCTGAGACAACTGAAATCTGGAACGCAGGGAATGAAAGTGAGAACGCAGAGAGTTTGCTACGGTTTAAATAAATTCACTTGTCAACAGAGTTTTAGATAGATATAAAAATACTGGCTATAATGACTTCTTCAACTTTCACTCATGAATGTGGATTATTGGCAAAGTACGCAAAATTAATTAGACATTCCTAGAGCTATCCTTTCCTTTTACAAATTTGATTTCGTGCATCAGTTTGCATGCTTTTGTTTATTTGCGATGCACTTCAGATAAGCCATTAAAACCTGCCATATTTTTGTCGAAATACGCTTGATTGCTTACTCGCAGACTTGCCATCGAGAATACTAAACCAAATTAGGTACACATAATACTAATTTAAATTACTTAATGCTTATTTACGCGATAACAATAAAATTAATTTTTTCGAAGCTAGATAAAATGTTTATTCATGAAAACAGTAGGTATTTGAAAACTATATTATTACCTAACTAGGTAGGCACGCCACGGCCGCCCCTCTTGACTGTCTTAACGCCCCTCGTTTGCCTCTGGGCGCGCTGTCTCCCACATGGAAGGCTTTAGCGCCCGCTGAGGGACGGTATCGCTTCCGATGGGAACCTATGTGCTAACCCAGTGATGGCTAACCTATGAAATGGAGTAGCGAGCATAACTGGCGCCCGGGGCAGAATACCTTTTTGGCGCCTCTCCCCGGAAAAAAAAAAAAAAAAAACAGAGTGATATGATGAAAATCTTGTTTGGAGACCATTTGGCGCCCCTCTGCGAGCGGCGCCCGGGGCATCATACACCCCCTTGCTACTCCACTGAACCTATGACAGGAGTGCCATGAGTGACACGCGAACCCATTTTGAATGACACGCATCAAACATTTCTGGAGCCGTTGACGTTGCATTAAATTGCATCATACAAAAATATTTGCCTCTTGCAACTGTCTCGTCATTGTCAACATGTCCTGCACTTACCTTGGGAGGCGTACAATGCATTCTTAGAAACAGATAACACGGATGGCAGACGGATCATTATGTATGCTACATGGCATCATAGTTAATGTAGGGTGTTTCTGAATTTTGACACGCCGAGCTCAAATGATTCACCATCACTGCTCTAGTACTTTTAATCTCGAGTGAACATCTAAAATCAACCACTGAGCGTGGAAAGTTATTTACTTTCCACCTGTTGTGTAAGTTATTTCAATGCTGGAATTATGGTTTTCTGATTTTATGAACAATCTTTAATGGTGAATTGGAAACTCAATGTCCTTACCTTGTAAGATTGGCTTGGGTATAATTTCTTAGTACGGTGGAGAGTGGTAAGCCAGGTTCGATGGTCACCTTAGATCCACTGTTGACCATATTCATAGCATCCAACAAGTTCAGTCTGGAGTGAGTTTCAAAAATCTTTGGCTCATTTACTTCTGAGTGATTCGTCAAGAAACGGCGTAAATACTTATTATTATAGTATTTAAACCTAAAAATAAACAATTTTAATTATTATTTTTTTACCAATCAGTAAAAAAAGGATAATTTGATAAAGTAAAAAAATTTCTGTTTGTTGCCTTCATATGAAAACAAGTAATTTCTAATAACAGTGTTTACAGTGCTCATTTTGCGATTTAGTGATACAAAGAAATTTCTTATGGCGATCAAATTTTTCAGACAAAAACCTCTGAAATTAATCCGTACTTTTGTAAACGTAAATGAATACTGATATTGAATATTACAGATAATCATGTTTTATAAAAAACCTCCTCAGAAGAACAAAATCGTCTGGAAAACTTGAAACTTCATTGCATTTGAGTTCAAGATATCGTAACTACTGTTTCCATTCCGAATAGAAACGATGAATTCTGAATAATAAAACTAATAAAGGCTCGAAAATAAAGGTTTAATGAGTCACAATCTTCTTAACTGTTAGTTATTAATTAAAATTAGAAGAAAAATATTACATATGATTTAAGTGCTATTGGCTTACTGTGCGGGCCATTATAAAATGAGATGTAATTTTTATACAGAGAGATAACCGAGAAGGTTTAGGAATAACTGCTTTAATCTCATTGAGGTGGTATTCTTAGGTTTTGGACATTCATTATAAGAAAGAACATTTGCAAAGAAGGCATTTTTGTATTTATTGCATTTATGCATTTTTACTGTTAATGCCACATAAATTCATCACTGTTAATTTAAAGAATATCAGTACTTCATTAATAGTAAAGATTTTCATTTGCTGATAACCTCTTCATAAACATCAACAGAAATTTCTTTCTTCCATTGACGAAGAAATTAACTTCTCTATCATGCTTCGCATGTTATGCCTTTATTATTTTCCTTTTATGTGTTGTTAGGTGGCGCCGTTAATGATTCCTGAGTGCATGAGTTGCTGAGTGGTTCCGTGTAATCCCCATGGAAAAGGTAACTAATTTCTGAAATTAGATTTCAGAATCGGAATGTAGAGCCTATTCTTTTCAAATTAACATCCTTTCTTCGAGAATTTTTCGCGAAAAGCTTTCGCAAGTCTACTCAGAAACCTTTCTCTACTAACTATTTATGTCAATAGACCTACTTGTCTGTTTGCTTAGATTGGTATTAAATAGAATTTATATATTCGTAGAAGCATAATTTTGAAGTGAAGAACATTTTTCGATGTTCTAAACCATTGTAGAATTAACACGAATAATTTAGATTGCGAGGTCTTTGCTTTAAAGCATTAAATAGATATAAGAATAAAAATATAAGCAATCATGTATATTCTGTGTGCAAAATATAATATTTCTCCATTAATTAATCTGCTAGAGAAAGTAAATGATGTGTCATAAATTACAAGCAAAATTAAATGTTTACTTTTTCTTAACAGAGTAATCAGTCTTCTATCATAATTTTCGATATCTATTGATCAGTAGATTGTCAGTTTATTTTCCTTCGGTTAATTGATTGCTGAAGCAAATCAAGCCAAGGACATAGAAGATTAACTCAGAAGTTTGTATTTTTCTTCTGATCCGGTTGCAGACAGCTGCAGTAATAATAACATGAGAAGACTCATTTTTAATGCTACCGATAAAAAATAGAACGACTTACAAATGAAATAAATTATAATTTGAAATATGGATGTAGTTGCAAAATCGCAAAGCAATGTTTCATAGATAAAGTACAACATTCGGGAAAATAATAAAATTAAATTTCATCTTTGATATATTAGTTAAATTAATGAATAAAAGCTTGAAATAAGTACAAATGTCATTGTTTAAATAATAGACAGTCAAAATAGCATAATCACTAAGCAGTTCACAAATGATTAATTATTCTTTTAGCTAAGTACCGAATATAATATGATGGAATTATTTTTACCTAAAGCATTATTGTGTAATCCATTATTATGGTGTGCATTCGTTATTGTAATCTAAAGCAAAATTCCGATTAGCTTTAGATTACAATAATGGCACAAATACTGTTAATGGACATATTAAATAAACAATACGGAAAGAACAGAAATTTGCTTTTGCTATTTTTTGTTCTTTTCAGATTAATAATACAAATTTATGTATCAGCTTGATATATCGTATGAATCATGTGAATCAAATGTTATTATAAATTGCATCAATCAGATATTTTATTAAAAATATAAATTATAAAGCAGTACGAGTGTCGTGAAGCTCTAATATACTTTTAAATCGAGTAGTTAAATAAGCAATGCACTATTTTAAATTTGAAAAAAAAAAAAAATTACAGATCTTATTTTACGTCAAACAGCAACATCTTTGACATCTGGCAGTTTGCCAAACTGAATGCGACAAAAAAAGGGGGGATGGGGAGGACAGACTTTCCCACAATATTTCACTGCGTCAGAAAACACAAGAAATATTAAGAAAATGCCTTACTTTTGAAAATCTAATAACTGGCATTTAGTCCAGATAACTTTCGCTGAAATTTCCTGCTCCTTTTATTAATCAAATGCAGTCTTATTTTGGCTCTCATATTTTAATGATACATGTTCAATAAATGGCTATTAAATTTAGTAAATAAGACATAACGCGTAAATTAGTATAGTTTTAACGATTGTATGATCTAATTTACTGTAATTTAACAAATAAAATAAGATACAAAATAAAACGAGACCTCCTGCTAATAAATTGTTGAAAAATCTAACGAAATATTTTTTCCACTTAGAAGTTGATTAAATTTTCAGCTACACAAGTTGTTTACATTCAATATTGTATGTAAATGTAAACGCTGGAGGTACATAAGCCCGCAGGTAAATCGCAACACAAGATTGCAAAATTAGATTAACTTTTGTGTGCTTTATTAAAACTCTCTTGCTTATGAATTCGGAAATTCTTGAAGATTATATTAAAATGAGTATTTTATTAAAATGAGTATCTTTTGTGACTAAGAAATTGCACATTGAGGTAAAGAAAATGGATTGATTAAATTCAAATGCGTTTCTAAATATGACTTCCTTTCTTAATAAAATACAGAAAGCAGATTAATTAAATTCAAACTCGTTTCTAAATATGACTGTTTTTTTAGCAACTTTAAATGAAGTTCTTAGAGAATATTCGGTAGTAAAGATAAAAATAAGGTTTTATTAATACATTTTAAAACATTTAAAGAATACAAGTCTCCCACATATCATGAAAATTAAAAATAAATACTGCATGTACGCATCGTAATGGTGTATTTTAGCTTCAGTTTTAAAATATTGCTAAAGAGAAATAAGTGATGATAATATAAAAGCTTCTAATTTACATTCAGTGTGCAATTTCTTAGTTTCTGCGAGATAAGTTTCCCGACTAAAACAAAGAGATTAGGAACTAGACAACTCCTTGAAGTTTTTTGTTGAATCCATAGAAAAGTTAAGTAGATTATTAAGTTTTGTGTTGATTATACCAATTATCATTAACAATATTATTGATTATTTTATTTAAAACATTCACAAGCAACAGAAATACTGAAAAATAATTTTGTATACGTTATTAAAATTCATTACAAGATTAATAATATTAATAATAAGATAGTAAAAAAAATGTCAATAAACTTTTAATATAGTTTTAAAACGTGAAGAATGGAGGAAATATACACGATTTTCTCTTAAGCTGGCCACCAACGGCTGAGCGATATAATCCTAAACGCTGGTAGTTAGACTCCGGTTCTAATTACGGGAAAAGGGCGTTTTCATTCTTTTTCCCATGTGTAACGTTGAATACGAGTCACTCTTCCTTAAAATTTCCTCCATAAAAGTCCTCCTTCGCTTAGGTAGACAGCCTTTTCGTGCTTTGCTGTAATTCAAATAATCCGATCCCCCTTATTTATTTGGTTCGTTTAACTTTTGACTAAAGTATTCTAGATTGTTAAAACTACCATTAACTAGCAAGAAAGCGATTATACGTTATCACTTCAAATCATCTGCAGCGTTTTTAGTGGATTTTTTTTTTTTTTTTTTTCAGTCGAACGCTCTAGCCGTTTTTAAACCAACCACTACTAAGGGCGGAATCTATGATCTCTTTATTATGCAGACGTCTAATAGGTGGGCCACCGTTGCTTCCTAGGGGCGGACATATTACATCCATGTCTTCTCCGGGATTCGAACCCGGACCCTTCGGTAAAGCAGTTGGAGTCACTAACCACTTTCCCGTCGAGAATATAAGTAAAATATATTCCTTAATTTTAAAATTCACAATATTTAATGTTAGATTTCAATTAAGCTCGATAAGACGAGAAACTGCGTTTTCTTTCTTTGGAAAAAAAATTATAAAATTTCAGTTGCAAATATTTAAAAAAGAATTTGCGCATATGTTCTTGTTCTAACCCCTATGTTTAGCCAGAAATTATTAATTTGAGTTATACACGTTTATAAATACTCCTCAAATCCACTATAAAGCTAACACAGCAATCTATGATATTTGAAGGTATCTTTTTTGCGAGCTCATATCTGATTGCATAATAAATATTAATCTTTGTAATCCGTCTATATTCTTAGAAGTAACCTTATAAATGAGTTATAACATTTTATTTTTCTTATATTTGGCCGTGCTGTGTAAAATTTCTTAGCGTTTTAGTTTACCTATGAACTCCCCGAAGAAAGGACTTTCGTGTGATTTTGTACTGGGGCTTGTATCTCGTGTTAGTTCTGCGAGATAAGTTTCGCGACTAACTGCTGTAACATTTGTTAACCTGGTGCATATTTTGAACAAGCTAAGCCTAAAAAAAGAAATATTGATTGAAAAGTCTGGTGAACATCACATAAGAAGCATCTGATAACTTTTACATTCAGTCCTCAGTCCTGAAGGTATTAGTAATAATTACGTCGCTGGCTTGAGGCCAAAGCTTAGTTCCTTTTGATAATAGACTTAAAATGCCAAAAAATTATTTTTATTTCAGGTTCATATATTTATACTGTCTTAGAGTGACGATTTAGGTAATTATGTTAAATAGAATAAAGTGTACTAAAACCCATAAGCAATATTACTTCCTACA